TGTACATTTGCTGTTATGTCAAACTTATATTAAAGTTTTTCTTCATTACTCATTCAAGCCGTCTCCAGCCATTATCAGTGTGGTTTTGTTCTGGAACAAACAAAGTCTACCACATTAGTTAAAGAAACACACTTTTCTCAATAGTTAACTGGCTTACTAATAAAAATTATAATCAAGAACTACTTATAAAAGTTAGGGGACGACCAGGTTTAACTCTCAGGATCTCATTACAATCCCTTTTAGTGTAACAACGTCAACTGTCTTATAAAACGTGTTTGCAATCTAAAGATTGGCGTTATTTTCCAACATTTTATACCAACATAAATGTTACATCCACCTCGTACCTATATTGATGAAAACACTACACCCATGAATAGGAAGACACATTGATTTATCTTTACAAACTACAACATGAGAGAAGCGCAGTTGCGGATAATTTTTTAGCTACTTGTGGCCAAATATTTCCTAGCATGAATCCAGACTTATCTGTACACATACTTAACAAAGCCACCAAATACACTGTTAGAAACTTTAAATAAGCTCTTCTCATGAACAATGATAAAGGATGACACTTGTAATTTGTTTGTTTATATCTTAACTTTCATTACTACTATATTTACTTTCAATACGAATTTTGGGTTATTATATAGAAAAATATTAATTTTCAACTATAAGTTTTACCACGTATAATATTAAACGCACGCTACAGAATCGATTAGAAGTAAATAAACCAATTGATGCTTCGTACTGTCAGCTACAGCGAACCTGTGAGTGTCCAGTCAAATAATAAAAAAACAACAACTAAATTTGGTGTTATAATGTCGGTTACTTCTAAAAATAAGTCATGTGACATTCTTTTGTAGTTTTTCTGAGATATAATCATTTATTAAATGTTTTTCTTTGTTGTGGGAAGATAACACATGAAGTATATATTATATATCTTTTTCTAAACAGTGATAATATTGTACAATTAATGTTTTTTAGTTGTTTCAAAAGAGTTAATAACTAAATATATGATATCAAATCAAGTACCGGATTACTCATAGATTGAAGACTTTTGTATCTTTCAAACTTTTCATGGCTTTCGTATCAAAAAATTAAAGTCTTTTTCTTGTAGAATCTGATGTGACATGATTGATTGACTGTCTGTGTCATCTGATGGTGATAAGGAGAGAGAGAGAGAAAAACACGTAAGACTGTTTCATTATTTATTTTTATTTTATGTTTTGTCTTTTTTAGTGTAAATGGTAAAATACAAAAGTTTTCTACTTATTACCGGATTCAGGAAATGTTTACATAATTATCATAAATAGGTCGTTTAGGAGTTAAAAGCTACTAAAATATGCATTCTTCCTAAATACACTTTTGGTTGTATCATATATATAAACTCATAAGAACTTGGACTTATAGCACGTAGAAGTCATTTTAACTTTTCGTACTATATGTGAAATATATATATCTTTTGTTCAACAGTTTTCCTGAATAAATATAGTTATATAGTTCATCGAAAAAATTTAACAAAGATTATTCTTAATCCACTTTGGCGCTAAAGAAAGTATCTTTCCAGCAGATTTAAGAATCAACTGATGTTTAACTAATCGCACTATATAAACTGACGAGCATGGTGTTTATCTATATTATTAAAATAGTTTACGTACGTGCGTATGTGAGAAGCTTTTTAAACTTCATTAAACTATGTAAAAATCAAATTAATAGTATGGGCGTATGGATGACGTCACCATATGCGTAAGTAATGGGTGGATGTAGATAGTACTATGCATTGCAAAGGGAAAAGTATTTGGGAAATGGGTCTGTCATCCCTCAGAGCCCCATCTCAGACAGCAGTGTTTATGTGTTAAAGTTCTGTATGTGTATTTGTTCATTTATTTATATAAACTTATAGTACCGGTACCGTCAGACTGTTGAGTAGGGATCTGGGACCATTATCACTGAGTTTTAATACTTTCCCCCGATACCCAGATTTTGAAAGCGACGTTAGATCTGGTGTCTCTTACTAGATAAGTCGATCGGTTTGTCGTTTTTGATTAGACCATTATGCTCAATAAGTTGTTTGTACTAGAGGTGTTTGGTGAGTATCACGTGTTGTGGACTAGGTTTGACCAATTTAGGTTTTAACCTCACATTCATTAACATGCCCCACACGGCCATCAGATTCGTTCAGAACTCTACGTACCTAGCCTCACACATGAATAGTCTAGGCAAATCACTTATGTGTAATGTAGCAAAAGTAAACCTGATTGGTTTTACATTTTACAAACATTGTGCATTCAAATACAGAATACTACAACCAAAAATGTTTCGTTCATGAAGAACTAGTTTCCCCCCTAGTTAAAAAGTAATCGTCCTGAAAAGGAGCAAAATAACCAAATTCCCTACCAGGAAGTTTAAGTGATCTGCGTAGTTCCAGTAAATAAGTCCAGATTTTAGGTTATTTTGAGGTACAATTTTATAGTGTATTTGCTGAAATATTGTTTATGTTGTAGACTTGCTTAAATAGTAACGAATAATTGGAACTGGTGTTTTCAACGTGAACGTGCACTTAGGCTAAATGGTTAAGTGAGAAACCCCTAAAATTCTGGCATAGCTGTCTTTAGATTTAACTACTGCCCAGAGGGAAAGCAGCCGGTAAGAAGTGCCCGCCACCATAAGGGTTTTCTCCAGCTCTTTCAACCGAATTATGGGATTTAAAACTTTTTATAAAAGTTTTAAAATACTATGAAGTTAAAATAAATAAATAATACAGTATACAAATAAATAATATAGTTTAAAAATAAATAAATAATATAGTTTAAAAATAAATGAATAAAAGTTTGTTTGTTTTGAATTTTGCGCAAAGCTACACTAGGGCTATCTGCGCTAGCCGTCCCTAATTTAGCAGTGTAAGACTAGAGGGAAGACAGCTAGTCATCACCACCCATCGCCAACTCTTGGGCTACTCTTTTACCAACGAATAGTGGGACTGACCGTCACATTATAACGCCCCCACGGCTGAAAGGGCGAGCGTGTTTGGTGGCTACATATAAGAATCTGAGTAATACATTTTTAACGCAATATTATTTATTTATTTATTTTTAAACTAAAAACTTATATGTAGTGACTTTAATAAAATTGAAAAAAATTACTATTCACCATCTTAATCTATATCACATCGAAACAGTTGTTGTTCACACAATTTCATAATATAAATACTGTTTCAACCACGACTATGACTGTTGTATCCCAGTCGGGATATCAGATGAAAGGCCTCGTCGGCAATGGATATAGAAGACATGGTATACTTGATATACTATTATAGACTTTTCTTTACTTTCACATAGAAGTTCGTATAATGTTATAACACACCCTTACCTGAGAATGTAGTAATAAAACACATAACTGATAGAGGCTCATGCATTGGTATAAAATTATAAAGTGACGAAATGAAGAAGTATAGTATTACCATAACACCTTGACTCGGTAGATCGTAACACTTTTCAATTGAACATTAGGCCTAGTTATTTCTAACTTACAAATAACGTGGGTCTAAAATAATGCCGTATGTAAAGACGACAGGGAGTGGAGTATAGATAAGACTAATTCAGTAGATTGTGCAAGATGTGCATTGACTTATTTGACATCAAGAACTAGAAGGCTCCAATGACTCACACCATATATTGACTTTCGTGATAAAAGGAATAAGAGAGCAGAAAAAATTAGCATGGATTTTCCAAACAGCAGCGTGAATATTATTTTTTAAGATTAGAAAACCTTCATTTCCTTTCTGATCTTTGTAGAAAACTATATACTATATACGATAAATATATTTCAACATTTTTTTAGATATCTTTGTTCCTCAGAAATTGAAATAACATTAAGAAGAATAGAATCCTGTCAGAGACATAGGCCTCTTTGATTATAGTATACAAACCGATTTTTCTCGTTTTGGATAAATAACTTTAAACTGTGTCAATATCATATGAATATCTGAATAAGTTATAAGTATGAGACACTATATGATACGATTTTACCTATCAAGCTGGGAAAATTAATCGCTTTTATTTTTTAGATGTAGAGTGTATTGGAAACACCTGTTTATCGGAAATTATTTTCTGTTCATACTAAATCACAAAAAAATGTCTGCGTTTTATATTTATGCTCAGATAAGCCAGATAAGATAATTAAATAAGATGTTTGAACGTTTTAATTTTATACAACCAGATCAGAGAATTAACTTAAGTTGTTTGAACGTTTAAATTTTATACAGACAGATCAGAGAATTAAATAAGTTGTTTGAACATTTAAATTTTATACAGCCAGATCAGATAATTAGCTAAATTGTTTGAATGTTTAAATTTTATAAAGCCAGATCGGAGAATTAAATAAGTTGTTTAAACATTTAAATTTTATACAGCCAGATCAGATAATTAAATAAGTTATTTGAACGTTT